CAAATGGAATCTTCAAGCCCATTACCTCTATCGTCACATCACCGAGTGCAAATTTCTGGGCACTCTAGTGTCCAATCATCTTCCACCTTCGAGTCACGAATGGCAAAACATGTCAATCTAACTCTTCAGGCTTAAGAAGATTGAACAGGGGCAGATGTTGTACCCCAAAATTTGCCCTCTCATTTCTCAATATATTTCCTATAAAGATCTTCAATGCCTCAAGTTTGCGCAAGTATCGACTAGGTCAAACAATGTTCCCAGCACTGATACCTCAAATTAGGGTTTGGGTTTGTACAAAGGCAGTTGGATTGCTAATGTTTCGAATGACTTTCATGAATCATTATGGACCCTCAGGATTATTTTTGTCAAGTTTCAAGTTTGGGATCACAATTTTCCAAGAAAGTCATTCAAATTACCATAAGGGGCAAAATGGGCGAAATTAGGGTTTTGGCTGAAAAATGACCGAACTTTGATTTTTTACCTAATACCTGGCTTATTGGTTGGAAGCATGATCTCAAGGATCTGAGAGTTTCATTTTGACCTAATTGCATATTTCAATTCATCTCCTGAGATCAGTGGATTGATAGACAAATTCAGTCAACTGGTGAGAAAAGTCAACTGTACACTAAAAAGTCAAACTTTGACTTTTTGACCAAAGTTGAGTCCCAAAAATCATATTTCATCAAGACATCCAAAATATGAAATTTGATCATCAAAAATCAAGAGAATAAAATATCCAACTTTGCAAGACTTTGAAACTTTTCTAAGTATTTTCTATACTTGGTTAATTTCATTTGCCTCATGACATTTTACTACAATTCCAAATAATTCAAAATGATGCAAGTAATTCAAGTTATTACAAAGTAGCATTTTTGCATGTTTACAAATCCTAAACTTTGTATTGCTTGGACTTTTTTTCCTTTGATTCAAAACCTTACCACAATGCTTTGTCCTTGATACAATATGCATAAATTGCTCCACAAACCAAACTTGTTTCATACTACAAACTATGTTGTCCAAGTTATTGCTGGAAAAAAAATGATATGTTACTTCTTTATTCATTACCACAACACTTCAAACCCTTGCTCATTTGTTGTCTTACAAAACCTTGTGCCATGTTGCACCATAAACCTGTCACAAAACCTACATTGTTGTCCTATACAATCTAAAATATGTCCACAAAACCAGTCAAAGACTGCTCTATGCAGTCTGCCCCAAGCCTGCATCATAACAGTCCCAAAATTGCACCAAAATGGCAAAGGAAATTTGTGTGCAGAAAGTATCAAAACAGTAGGCAAAAATAATTCAAAAGAACTTATTTGATTTCCCCCCTAAACCACAGTAAAAAGGTCTATAAAAAGGGACTGACTCATAAGACATAGAGGTTGGATTTTTGAGAAAAAAAGAGAGAAGAGAAAAACAGACCTTTTATTAAACTTTGCTCATTCATAAAACCCAACTCATTTCATAAAACTCAGTTCATCCATAAAAACTTTGCTCATCTTCAACTCTATTTTCACTCACAAAAACAGAAAAATCCTCAATCCATTGTTGTACAACCTTGCAAACTTTCCCCTAAACCAACTAACCAAACACCTCATATACATCACATGGAGATTGTTCTAACATAAGAACAGTTTCTGTAACACCTTTATCATCACCTTCCAAGCATAAACAAAAACAGTGCTTTACACCTTTGACTGGGTTGGAGCGATTCTAGAACTTGGTCACACAGGGTAAGGATTGGAGTAGCTCTAAAGAGGAGTTCGTCCATTCATCACTTTTCATCCGGAGATATCCATACATATTCCAAAGTTTCACTTCAAGAGGTATATCTTCTCTTCAAACTGTAATATCTTTTTCCATACATCATTTGCTGTTTGTGTCCAAAAGATATGTAAAAGATAAGTCAAAAAAAGGGAAAACTCAGTAAAAAAGAGCATGACAGAGGCTGACACGGGTGCCCGTGTCAGCTCCTCTGTTGAAAAAAATCGCGCAAAAATGCAGGTCAGGGGCTGACACGGGTGCCCGTGTCACAGGACACGGCCGTGTCAGCCATACTGGAATTTTATGCTAACAAAAATGCAGGTCAGGAGCCGACACGGGTGCCCGTGTCACTGGACACGGCCCGTGTCATTTTAGCTGGTACAGAAAAGGAAAAGAGGCACATGGACCATTACAGAAGCTGACACGGGTGCCCGTGTCAGACCAGACATAATAAATTTTAATTTTTCTTTTGATTTTTTGCTTTTATTTTCATTCAATTTGGTTGTAATAATTAGGAATTGTATTTTTTGCAACCCCACTTGTACACTTGTATACCCCATCCCTCAAAAAGCATGTAATAGCGTAGGACCTTTATTTTCCGCATTTTTTCTTTCATAAATGTTAGTAATTAGAGTGTATGGCAAGATAAAACCAACAAGTAGACCATCCTAATCAAAGAGTAAACGCATGCAATCAAACACACCATTCACACATGTACCTCTAGGGTAATCTCGCTTTGTTTCCTATCGGAAAAATAGTCATGTCCCTCGAACATGGGCGTTTTAGCAAAAGATCCTCGATAAAAGTTAGTAGTCCCTCGATGACCCTCGATGTTTCCTTCGGTAAACGATCCAGTCCCTAAAACGACATTGCTAAAACGTCCCATAAGTTGCCTTCTATGACTATTCAAACGTCCCGCGTCCGTCCCTTCACATCCAACGATGAGGCTTCTTACCAGATCAATGGTAAGATAGCCATGTCTAAAGGAGAAGCAAAAGCACGTTTAAGACCTTTCGAGTAGGTAGATTCGCTCCTAGTTACTCGCTTGCTCACGACAAAAACATTTTTACACATCAACACTTCCATTTCTAAAACATTTTCAAAAAAGATCAAACATTTTGTATACGTTCTTATAGAGACGAGAACCATTGCAAAATATCTTTCCGAAAACCACTTTCCAAAACACAATCCATAAACACGTCTTTGAACTATCTTTCAAAACAAAACTTTGTACGCGTTCTTATAGAAACGAGAACCATTACAAAGATATTTTTAAAACACTTTCAAAGCCCACATCACAAGAAAATTGTCAAAGCAAAAGCAAGTTGATCTAGCGAGTAACTAAGAGCCCATGGAAAACCATGGATGAAAAGGGTGCTAACACCTTCCTTTTTCATAATCTACCCCCCGAACTCAAAAACATCTCTAAAGGTCTTTCCTGTGCTTTTTCACCTTTCCTTTTGGATAAATGAAAAGTCGGTGGCGACTCTTGCTAAACCGAAACATTTGCGAACACAAACGCAAAACTTCAAGTCAGTTCTCCCACCGCATCACACTGATTTTCCACTGATGAAGGCCAAAAAACCCTAATTTTCTCCAACCCAAGCCGATGAACCCAATGGTTGCGGATGCCTTGAGAATGATGATCATGAAGATACAAACTCTTGAGAGATGAGCCTCTCCTATTCAAAACCCTAATCTTGAGAAAAAAATGTGATCCCATGCTTTGAGAACACATGTTATGCAAATGAAAATGTATGTGGAGATGAATGAATGTGAGATTTGAGTTAATTGTGGTTGAAACTCATGGGATAAATTTTGGGGTGCAACACTCAGCGCACCACATACATATTTGCGCCGCCAGATTCCCACAAGGTTTAAAATGATAGAATCTTCAAGTGACAAGGTTGATTTTACAACAAAAAATTACAGAAGAAAAAAATAAAAGTCGCTTATATGACAAGGACAAAAATACTATTAACCCTAATTTCTATATAGTATGGTTCTAAAAAACATATAAACCTTTTAATTTGAAGTGCATACTTAAAGAAAAACATTAAATTAATTAATATTTTATAGTTTAAGAGATTTATATTTTTTTATTTATATTTAAAATTAACTTATATTAATAAATATATTTAAAATAATTATTATTATATCTAATAATTATTAATAAATATATTTATATTAAAACAAAAAACATAAAAATAATAATAAAATAATAAATATATTTTAAATAGTTATTAATATATCGAATGATTTAAAAATGAACTTATATTTAAATAAATAAATAAAATTTCTCAAAAGACGCATATAAAAGAAATGGAAAAAGGTAATAACATTAGTATTGGATGTTATTGAAATTCTATTTCTAGCTAACTTTAGTTCTAGAAACAACCAAAAGCTTTCTTATTTTACTTATAAAAAATCATAAATTATATGCATTTTTCTTTGATTTAATGATTGGTGCAGCATGAGCCATTCTATTATTTTTGCATCATTAAACTAAGTCAATCCTTCCGGCAAAAGAAAAAACCAAGTCAATCATTGCTTTTGTTTTTCAACTTCAGACTCAATTAAGTTTATTGAATTAAAAGTATTTATAATTGAGTTTCTAAAATTTATATATCCTCTTCCTCCTCCATTTCTTTTTAATTATCACAATTTAACTTTTTTATGTATATCAAAAAAATTAACAATTATTATTACTTTTTAAACTATAATTTTTCATTTGTCTATAATACCTCTAATTTTAAATTATTTCAATATTTTTTTCCTCTCATGATAAATAATTAGGAGTAATTTTAATAAAACTATAATGATTATTACTTTGAAATTTGAAAACGACAATTAAATAAAAATAAATTTTTATTATTGATGTGTTAGAAAATGACTCATAACTTATTCTTTTCAATACTTTTCAACCTTGGAAATGCAAACAAAATAGCAGACAACAATTTGAAACAAACAAAAGCAACAGATACAAAAGTATATAGAATCTGTAGCTACATAAAAGAATTGTGCCATCACTTCATTTCTGTTTCAAATTACACTTCATATAACAAGCATACAAGATTTACACAAAAGAGTAGTGGCCCATTGGGACCACACCTGCACTTTAGTCCTCTTTGCAGTGAGTAACAACATGTCACAACATTTTCAACTTGTAGATTATGGAATATATATCATGTGAACTACACACACCAAAAGCAAAACCTCTAAAACATTGATTTTTAAGAGCTATAATGTGTTGTGTTGGAAGATGGTTTAGATTGGATTATAACCCGAGCTCCCGAAGAAAGCCTGTTGAGTTAAAATTAAAACATGTCAAACGACGACGCAAAACATTAAGTAATTTAATCATGATTTGAAATTGCGGTTGCAGTGTTACAAGCTTTTAACCGCAATTTAAAATCATGATTTTAACAGTGTTTTAAGAAAACACAAGTAGAAAAAGATGAAGTGAACGCTTAACTTTCTTCGATTTTGATCACCTTCTCTTCTCTAAATGAGTTTATCTTTGTAGATTGTTTTTTCACTGATGAAGGCCTAGTGATGCTTTTGCAGATACCATTTGATGGTACTGGCAATTCGTACGAGGCCTTAACTCTATCTGCCGACTTTCTTGATTCATCGGAAATAGAAGATTTTATGGTCATCGAAGAAGCCTTGACCGGACGCGAATTGCATTTTGAATTTATGGAGGAGGAGGATGATTCCTCCATGTCTTGTGATTTCAACTCTTTACTTGTCCTGTAAAATCGAGTAAATTTTGTTACAGTCACAGATGAATCATTGGCAACGACGTGATGACGAAAGTCTCCGTGTTAAAGCGCATATTTACTATTAAATATTGTTTAGCTTCAAACAAGAATTCTAAAGCATTTATTTTCAGTTAAATATTGTTTTGCTTTAAAAAGCAACCAGCAAAAGAAATACAAAGCATTCTCCAGGCATATTTTAGAATCTTTTACTATAAAACAAGTTCAAAGCTGAAAAAAGTTATTAAAGAGTTAGAAGATCTTAAACTGTTTTTCTTTAAATCAAAAACAGATGCTAAAGTGGTGTTAAAGTTTAAAGACAAGTGAAGAGCATATGGAAATTTTGAACCGAAACCGACATGTCAGTGTCGGTGTCATGTTTCTGGTGTTTCTGCTTCATAGGTTTAGTCTCATCCAACATTACTCAGTAATTTAAAAAAAGAAAAAGAAAAAGATTTGAAAGCAAAACTTACCTCTCGGCATTGAAAGAAGAAGAGCGTTTGAGAAGATTTTGTTCGTCTTCTTCCTTCGCCATTTTGGACTCGACTAAGCTCCCACTAAAATACTCTTTGTCTTCCATTCTAAAGCTTGACACCTTCGGATTCCCTACCAAGCAGTCTAATTCCCCCAACATAACAGAGTTGGAGAATAAGGGAGAGGGGAATTTCGAATGCGAAAATCTAGCCTTATAGGAAGGAATAAGGTCAAGACTATGGTTTTTCACCGATATCGACCCGCAAGAGATCAATTGCATCAGCAAACTTGAGGCTTTCAGCCTTGTAGTGGTTTGCATTTGCATACCTTCCTCTTCAAGGATCCTAAAGCTGTTCATTCTACTTGCATCGGCTCTAATAAGGGATTCCAAAGTTTCGGTCTTCCCTGCAGAAGACGACGGGCTCGAATTCGAGAGTGGAGGAAACACAACATCCGTACGGATTTCTGAATCATCTTTCACCTCTGGTTGGATTTCACATATTTCATCGCATTCAGATTCTAACGATCTATCCTCGGTCGATACACCTCTAGTACACGTTTTCTGTTTTTGAGGTCTGCTAACACGTTCATCGGTTTGAGTTGAAGCATCGGATAATCCATCGGCTTTGTAGATTTTATATTCTGTCAATGGTAAACTTTGACAATCACTCTTCCCATCACTAGACTCCGGAGAAAGATCGGACGAACCGGTATGATGCTCTCTTGGAGAAATCTCGTCTTCTTGAGAGTTTCTACCTTCTCTTTCGTTCATACTTGAAGAGGAAGAAGCCTCGTCGTGGCTCCTACACGAAACTGGCTCTGGCAACCGCTTTAGACTCGGTAGTTTCACATTGCTAATGGGACTAAACCGGTCTGCAAGTCAAAATAAAAAATTCATAATGAGTAAGATTTAGTAAAAACACAAAGTGTAACGATAAATAAACAAAACAAGATCTAAAACATCATTGACCTGAATTTGATTCGCAAAATAGCTCGGAGCCTTTCAGGACATACTCATTACCATGTGCAGGTAGAATTATATCATCTTCACTAAGATCATGCCACACATATCCATTCTTGTAGCTTCTAAAAGTACATAACACAAACAAACATGAATACAGAAAAACACACAATTTGGCCACTTTCTAAAACAACACCAAAAGGCTTCGAAAAATTGATAACTCCGTATTTCATAGAATTTGAAAGGGAAACAAAGGAGACAAGTACCATGGTTTTAAATTGCGGTCCATGACTACAATTGCAGACAGAATATAAACGATTTTGAGGTCTTGACAAGAGCATCACAACCGCAATTTCAACCACATTTTGCAGCAATAATCGCAACTTAAAACCATGACTAGTACACTCTCGAAATCATTCTTTTGTTTCCAACTATACAAAATTGAACACCAATGCAAAATATTAATCAAAACAAGTTCATCACCTCTTACAAGACCATGAATACAAATCAGCCATGCCTCTACCTCTCAAAGCATCAAGTTTATCAATCACATCTGCACACACAAACAAAACACAAACAAGTATGAGCCATAATTGGAAGAACTTATGAAAACAATTTATTTCCAAAAAAGTGTTGAATTTAAGTATTTACCTCTCAAAAACAAACCATCAGGGGATTTTATAGGAACCTCCATGAAATGAGGGTGTTCAAGCTGTCTATTTCTGGAAAGATAGTAAACAACAGGAACCTTTCTGTTCTTGTAATACTTAGGAGGCTTCTCCTTCCATACTTTAGACCTCTCGGGACTCAATTGCTGCCTATACTTTTTCACCCTTGCTTCCATTTCAACAACCCCACAACAAAAACTTGTTAAAAATTCAAACTTTCTTCCACAAGTTCCACAAAAACTTTAAAGGGTGGGTGAATTCTCAACCAGTATTTAAAAAAATCAGATCCTTAACGTTGAACAATAAAAGGGTGGTAATAAAAAACAATAAAGGAAAGATCTTTAGTACCAATGAAGGAGCGTGTTTGTTGAGGAAATTAAGGGACAGTGTGTGTGTGGTTTGATGAGTTCAGAAAATGTTGGAACTGGAAAAGGGACGAGAGAGAGAGAGAGAGAGAGAGAGAGAGAGAGAGAGAGAGAGATTTGAGGTTGTTCCTTGTTTCGCGGTAATGTTTTTGGAAGTGATTTGAGGTTTGATGGAATGTTGCAAAGTTTAAACTGGTTTTTACTCTTACTGTACTACACTCACTTTTTGCTTTTGCCTTTTCACTGCTTTTAGGATGCCATTTTTTTTGTGTTTCTTAACTCTTGGTTTCATTTGGTTTTTCTTGGGTTACACGATAGAAAAGGAAAGGAAAAGGAAAAGCAAGGAAAAGATGATCTTAACAAATGACACATCTTACAATAATATGGGTGATTATGGTTAAGGTAAAGAGAAGAGATAAGACACTTGTTCATATATCATGACTAGAAATATTTTATGAATAGCACTTAATTTTGAAAATATTTCTTTTTTTAAAAATTTAGTGAATAAATATGTGTCAATTCTAAATTTGATCATAGAATTCATTTCTAAAAGTATATTTACAATTAAGATTTTCACTTCACAACCAAATATTTTGTTCGATTCGAATCATTATTTGAGTCAAACAATTGTACAATTGTGATTTAAATTAGATGATAAATTCTGAAAATATCTTGTTCGATTCGAATCATTATTTGAATCAAGCAATTACATGATTCGAATCACACAACCTGCAGTAGTTTTTCAAAACAATTTAATTAGTCATGATTCGAATCATGATTCACATCAATGACTCTTTGATTTGAATTAGGCACATTCTTGATTCAAATCAACCTTATAGCGCAAAATTCCAAAATTCCCTTTTATTCTTGATTCAAATAAGCCAAAGTTCTTATTTAAATCAAGCTTAAAAAATATCTTGTTTTAATACTTTTAACTCGTGATTAAAGGCTTGGGATCACATAATAATTTTTGATACATTGGGTTTGATTGATTCTTACATTGAGATTTGGAGAGATTAAGAAATACTTGGGTAGAAAATATGATTTGTTCTTGGGAGCCTTCAGAGTTTGTTCTTGGGAACTCTAAAGGTGAAAGTTATTTTTCTTATAACTCGTTTGTAATTTTTTGTAACAACTTTATGAATATAGTAAATTGGAGAGTTATTCTCTCCTCCAAGCTAGATCTTTTGATCAAACTGGGTAAACAAACCTTTCACCTTTTCTTGTCTTACTCTGTTATATTTTCTGCTTATTAATTATTATTGTTGAAGGCCATTTATTTTGGTTGTTATTATTCTTTTCCTAAAATATCAAAGTGTGGATTGAAATTGAACCTTGTCATTTTCATAACAAGTGACACCCACTGTGCGGAAAAGAGGTATTGTTTACAAGTGAGCATCATGGCTAAATGGGAGATTGTGAAATTTTTCGGAGACAATAAGTTTGGGTTGTGGAAAGTGAATGTGCAAGAAATTTTAATTCAAAAGAAGTATGTTGAAGCTTTGAAGGGAGAGGCATTGATGCATGCAAGGCTTAAACCAGCAGAAAAGATCAAGATGGTGGATAAGGCCAAAAGTTCTATTATCTTGTGTCTCGATAATAAAGTTCTAAGGGTAGTCGTTAGAAGACATGGGGTACAGATGCATGAGACCACTGAGTTGTTATTGTGTTTTTGGGGAATGGTTGATGTCAAAGAAGCTTACTTGGTTGGTAGATGATTTCTTCATAGAAAGAATAGTAAAAACCAACGGATAAACCTTTTAGAAACTATAACAAAGAAAACTCAGCTTGTGGTGGAGTTTCCTACTATGGATACTAGTAGTAGTATAGAAACGATTATAGAGATATCTGATTATCATCTGACTCGTGATAAGGTAAGGAGGGGGATTGTAGCATCTCAAAGGGGTAGTTATACTAGCCCTGGGTGTCATACTTTGAATGTGGTAGGAGGGTTTCAAAATTTAAAAAGAAGGACCTTCAGGGAGGCATTCAAAATAAGGTAGAATCAACAATGATTGAAAAACCATGCTTGTGGGTTTTTTAGATTACTTGGGCAAAAAAAGATGATTGAAAACAAGTGGATGCAAGTGGAGAGATCAAGTTTCAAGGATATCTTGAACTTGGTTAATATTTTCGAATAATGTTTCATTATGGTATAGAGCATCAAGGTTGTTGATGGTTAAATTGACATTACTATAATTTAAAGTCAAGGTGGAGATTGTTCAAGTATGCCTTAAAACCTTTGTTGATGAAGAGAAAGAAAATATTCTTTGAGATTTACAAAAAAATAGGAAGCCATAGAGCATAAAAAATGTTTGGTATAGGCGATTCACAAATTTCGAGTTTGATCGGTTCGATTTGCGAATCCGTTTATTTAATGTTAGAATAATTTATGTATATTAATTTATAAATACTATAAATCAATATAAAATATATTATTAGATATTTTTAATATTTTATTCTAACAATTAATGGGTTTTATTATGGGCTTTATTATGGATCTGTTGGATTTTAGCAACTATAAATATGTATCTCTGATGTTATTACAGTGTGACAATTTTAGAGCTATAAAGCAAAAGGGAGAAATAAGGATTTAGGGAATTCTAAGAAAAAAACCTTAGAAAGACAGGGGTTTTTGGGAATCCTTTGCAGTTATATAAGGGGATTGGGATATAATTCTAAAACCTTGGGTTTGAGTGATTCATATATTGAAAGTTGAAGAGGTTGGGAAACACTTGGGTAGAAAATAAGGGTGTGTTCTTAGGAGCCTTCGAGGTTTTTTCTTGGGAACTCTTAAGGTGAAGGCGAAGGCTATTTTCTTGTAACGCATTTGTAATCTCTTGTAACAAATTTCTGAGAATAGTGAATTAGAGAGTTGCTCTCTCCCCCAGACATATATCTTTTGATCGAATTGGGTAAACAAACCTTTCACCTTTTCTCGTCTTATTTTGTTATATTTTTACTTATTGATTATTATTGCTAAAGCCATTTATTTTGTTTTCTACTACTCTTTGTCTCATATATCAAAGTGTATATTGAAATTCAACCTTGTCATTATCACAATAGGAGCTTATGGCCATACAAAGGCTCCAACCTCTAGGTTTTCAATGGAACAACTACTCGTTCTTGAGGATACGTGGAGTTGGTAGTCTTTGTAGGTGACAAGAAAGACACCCAAAATGTAAATTCACAATTCCTTGTTGTCCCTTGCAGGAGCATCTACAAATGCATCTTAGGAAGACCTTTTTTAGCCATGCTTGACGTTATTGCTTCACCAATACACCTAAATTTAAAGTATCACGATCTCCAAGGAGAATTGACCTCCATCAATGTCGACCTCAAGGGGGAAAAAATATATATAAACCCTTTAGAAGGATAAGGGAGAAGGTGTGGCAATGGAGATTAATGTTGTTTCTTTTATTGGGAAACTCAGAGGGATGGGCATTTGTCCCCCAAAAAGGCTAGATCGGCCATGGAAAATGAGGCGAATAAGTGGTGGATGACTCTTCTGGTTATGTTTTAATTTTTCACATTCATGTTAATTTATATTATTGTATAAACATATTCTTTATGTATAGAAATATTGTTGTTTCTTTGTGATTGTGTATGGTAACTACAAACCCAGGGTACGAATGGTGTCATCGAGGCCCGATACACCTAAAGTTAACTTTGCACATCTGACTAAAGCAATCAATTCCCCAAAAAAATGTAGTGGTGTTGTTGGAGACGCTTTGCTTGTCCGACTAAAGCAATCAATTTCCCACGGAAAGTCAGGGGTTTTGTTGGATACGCTTTGCACGTCCAACTGAAGCAATCAATTACCCACTAAAATACACTGGTGTTATCAAATACGCTTTGTACTTTTGAGCACATCAATCGATTACCCACAAGCAATTACAACCCACCCTCATCTGGATGCTAACCACTTCATATGCCATGGTGGGTCGGCCACATGTCTACTTTTGACCAATTTTTTATCATGTGGAGGGAAGGGGAACCAACGTTTATCCTGGAAGAGCACTAGTGACATATTGTTATCTTCAATGGAAGACCTTGTAAGTTCACTAAGATTTAGAGTTATGCACTATGGGTCCAACAAGTACACTTTAAATAGGTATAAAAGTAAAGCTAAAGCATTTTTATTCAAAATATGATTGTATCTATATACATATGCTTCAACTACAAAGTACCCTACACAGAGTACGTAAAAAAATCCACATGCTACTTCTGCAGAGAAACGATCTTCTCATATTTAACTACTTGATTTGGCCATATTTTCTCACTAGAGAGAGTTAGAGGGTGGTGGAAGTGATTCACTTACTACAAAGAATTCTCAAACAGTTGCAAGACTGTATCAAGGGTAGCACTCGTACAGTCGGCCAACTGTTGATTCATTAAAGCATTCTGAAGGTGCAAAGACTATAACTCTCTTTAAGTAGATAATAAATTTCCCCGAATAGAAGTCAGAGTCTAGTTCTTCTTTACCACGATCTTCACCAGATAATTCACCTGGTCGGAGAGAGAACCCACAAGATTTAGGGGAAATAAGGCATTCATCACCTTGGTAAGATAGGTAAAAGCCTTCTTTATTTCCTCTAGGTATTTATCCTGCTGAGACTTTTGGTCACAAATGTTGTCCTCTAGCTATTTTGTATTAGCACAATGTTGGTCGGACCAAAGGGCTTCCCACCGGACAACTCCATCAAGCACTAAAGTAGCAGAGGAACACCAAGTATATCGCATTAGAGTACCAGTTCTTCCTCCAAAGCAGGCCCGGAAAAATTATCCAAATAAGAGCAGTCTTCGTCCAA